AGTGGCCGACGGAGGCAATTGGGGCGAGCGTCTGTTGCGAGGGAACGTGAGGGCGGATCGGAACAAAGCAGACCAAATACACGCCCACTGAAACACTTGCCTGTTATAGCAACTTTCCTCAACGTCTCCAGGGACAAGCAAAATCACAGCCCACTCAGATTCGCTTCTCCAACGCGGTGCATACGGTCGCAACCTGCGACGGATGCGCTACTTGTGGTACACTGAGAGTGATATTCATCGTCTGCTTTGTCTACAATAGTACATGTCAAAGTCGTGATACTGATGAACGCGGTCAGGCTGCTAGCGCGCGTACCGTTACAAGGACAACCTAAACTTCACAGGGCGGTGATAGCTACTAGTGGGTGATGAGGTTGCGTACGATAATACAACAGCTGTAGAAATCATAGTTGCGGGATGTGCCAAGAAGGGGGATAATCTGAAAACTGTATGTCATTTGGCGCCGAGGGGAAGGCGGTCACTGCTGTTGGTTAACACCTCTGGCAGCGGGCTCGAGGTCCTCTCTGGACTCCTTGGCGAACCGAAGGGAGTCCATATTCTCGCCCGACGAGCCCACAATGGTTGACTTGAATGAGGACCCGCCGTCGGAGAAGAAGCCAGAGTACGGGGTGGCTGGACTGAGCGACGCGGGAGTGCGAGCGGAGTAGGTGAGAGCCGGAGAAACGACTGGCGACTCTTCAGCGTCCGCATCGCCATCTTGAGGATGGCCACTGGCAGGGGCGCTCGTCTGACCGGCGCTAGCCCCACTGTTCGGGTGCGCGGCGGCTGTAGAGGGAGGCAGAGTAGGGAGAGTAGACGTGTCAGCCGGAATGCTCCGCCCCTTTGAACGGGCGTTCACGCTGGGTAGGTTGATATTGCTCTTGCTGGTGAATAACGTATGGGTATTCGGTTGTGCATTGACGCGGAGATTAGTGGAGTTAGCGCGCTGCGATGCAATGCCATTGCTGTTGAGGGATGGCGGAATATGTTGCTGGTTGGTAGAAATGCGCGGGGCGTTATTCGTGCCATGAGGCCGAGAAGTGTAGCCACTAGTGGTCGGCATGCTGGTGCTGACGCTATTTGCGGAATCGTACAAGGGCATGTTCGCGCTGGAGAGACCGTGAGAGTATTTACGAATGCTTGCATTTGGAGACGGAAGGGTAGAAGACCGCAGATGCAGACTCTGAGCGCCCGGGTCCACGGGCAATTGGGCAGCGAGAGTATGGTTGCGTTGGCGTAGCTGTTGGCCTGGGGCCGATGGCTGCACTCCTACATTGACAGAGAAGTTGTCGCCTCGAGAGCGTCCGTATGCTCCAAAATCAGGCTGACGGGCAAACGTCGGAGCTACGGCCGACTGGTTCTGCAGAAGAGCGGCAGAAGCATGGAAGTCATCCTCAGACATTGCCGGCAAGCAGTTGAGTAGACGTCGATTAGCGGCCTGACCCGTAGAAGTGAGACCAGCCTGGATCGAAGCAGCGTTGTTCACATCCGATACGCGCTCTTGAAGTGTGTCGAGGTTCGCGCCCAGAGTGTTGGCGCGCTGCCGGACGTGGGCCTGCAGAATGAGCCGTTCCACCGGAGTGTAGCCTTGCTGAGCATTCGCACGTGGTCCTTGCATACTCAGTAAGGCAAGTCGAAGCTGCGTCTGCTCGTCCAGCTGGCCCGCACCGCTCTCTGGAAGAAGTTGCTGAGCGAGGCGCAGATCTTGTGCGGAGACGTGAGCGCCTTGTGCGTTCAGAGACTCGAATCCAGAAGCGTCGCTGACGAAGGGAGAGAGGCTCTGTGGGTCTAGTAGACCGCTGACGAATGCCCCTGGGGATTGGAGAGGAGATGCGTGACCAACTGGAGACAATTGGCCTTCCACTGATCCAGAACCAAGCGCATTCAAAACGAAGCCAAGTTCCGGGCTGATAGGGCTCGCAAGGCCTGCCGTTTCAAAGGCCCCAAGGGTGGGAGACCGCGCATCTGACTGGTACTGGGTCCCCTTCAGGTTGAGAAGAGCGGCACGCGCCATAGTCAAGCGAGCTGGGGATTGCTCGTCTTCGCGTGTAGTGCGTTCCGTGCGCTGTGTTCACGATCAGAAGAACTGACAAAATCATTCAGACGTTCAAGACATACCCTCAGCTCCCGCTGTTCAGGAGTGTCGGCGAACCTGACTGAGATCCGGCATCCCGCGTCGTTGCGGCCACGAACTAACCTCCCATGAAGTCGTTCTATAATGTCTTCCGCCGCCTCTCTACTCTCAAGCCTACACAGCACAGATGCAATACAAATATCAGCTAATGTGAGTTCGAAAAGAACACTATACATACCTGACGAATGCTATGATTCTCGGAGGGTGACTGAGGCGAGTATGGAAGAATCGCGAGCTCATGATGCGATACGGAGTGACGAGGACGCGTAATTCCTGTTCCGAAACGCTCAAAGGAAGGCCCTCCATATACAGGTTGGTAGATGCGGTGTCACGAAGCTGCTCCATCTTCGACTTGAAGGAGTCAGCGGGGCCAGTATTGGAAGCGGAAGGTGCAGATGCATATGCGGTACCGGGGATCTTGTGTACTTGCTGCATGGTAGGACATGAGCGATGATCACGGCCAACAAGGACGGAGAGGCGTACCTTAGAGAACGAGGGGTGCAGATTGCGGTACTTCCGCAGAGCCTCAATACACTTCTCTGCGGCAGCAAGCCTCTCGAACCTGTGAGCATGGCAGATTGATTAGGCGGCGAACATCGTGATTACGCCTTACTTACAGGACAAATCCGTATCCTCTATATTCACGCGAGGGGTGCAAAGCATCGTCAGCAGGGGACTACATATATACGACACACGGGCGACGTCGATACAATGGTCGGTTGCTCGCGATTGGCATACCGGGGACCAGTCCGAACCCGCAGGCGAAGATGAACTTACGAAGGTTTGTCGCTAACGTGGCGCGTGAATGTGCGGACACTCAACACGTTGCCAAATGGACTGCACATCGCCAGGAGATCTTCTTCAGGAAAGTTCGGCGGGAGACCGTTGATGTAGACGTTTGGTGGTTTAGGCTCCGAGTCCTGTGGAGGTTCGGGTGGAGCTGTCGCCGGGACTACGACCTCCTCATCGCGCCGTGAACGGTTCCCAGCAGGAATAAATGGCGGGGGCAGCTGCTCAGGCAAACCTTTACGCGATGTGGCGTCCTGCGTGGGCGCTAATTGAAGGAGAACGCGTCAATTCTAGAGCATAGAGAAGAGGGAATAGAATGCCTACTGGGACTACCTTGCTCGCGGATCTTGTATGCGGCTGAGGCGTCACGCACGGCCTCGGTTCCTGCGGATGCTACGGACGTCGCGGGGCTGTCGAGCTCTGGGGAGAGTACATGGATGTCGATGGGTGTGTCTAACAGACGGGACTGAAACTGAGGCGCGGCGGCAGAGAGCGTAGACGAGAGCGAATGTGCGACGGAGGACGTGTTCGGGCTTGTATCGGAACGGGGAGACGAGGCGAGGTTGGCAGCTGTACGGGAAGAGGAGTCTGGCGGAGTAGGGGGCACATGTAGAGAACAGCCGGATGCGCCGGGAGGCGTTGACGGAGTTTCGCGAGTAGAAGAGCGGGAGAAAGCCGAGGAAAACGAAGGAGAGCGGTCTGAAGAAAGCTGAGCGAGAGCGGGAGTGCTGGACATCGTGCAGAGGATTCAGAAAGAGAGATAGCTGGACGGACGAGATCAAACTGAAGGAGGTGAGGTCAGGCTGAGCGAAAGAGTTTGGAGGGAACGTAGAGTGCAGCGAGTAGCTGTATGCGGGCGAGAGACGTTTTACTTGCGGAATGGGACGGGCGGTATTTACGGGTATTGAGTAAACTTGTGTCGATTAGGCTTGCGAAGCTGGGGCGACGGAGGTGCAGACGGGGGAAGGAGGGCGGGGGGCGGGGGAGGGGCGGTATATATACCTGGGAGCAGGGGACAGCTCGTCCATCAGGGCCCGTCTTCTCTTCGACAGCACGGGCTGCGTCCATGCCAGTTTCCCGTCCGGATCGGGAAGAGCGATAGCTCATTGCACTGCTTCAGGAAGGTGCAGACGCCAACGGACGGCGAACGGAGTGGCACGGACGATCCTCCACCGCATGTCCTGCCCTTCCTCCGCCAAATCCGGTGCATGCCTTCGCCGACTCGCCGCGCTCCCGGGCAACGCGTGGCCCATGACGCGCCGGATGTGACAGTGCGCACAGCGAGAAAGACATTGATCTTCCGCCGAGGCTTCCTCCACGACGGTGACGAGCAGATCGGAGTCCTCCTCGCCCTCTCTGGGTCAGATTAAGAACCTTCCTACGCCCCCATATATGGCAACTGCTACCCGCTGGCGCCCACATCCCCTCTCCCCTTCGCCGCCGGCCTTGAGGCCTCCGACCACACTACGCTCCGGTCGTCTCAGAATCTGCCATACAAGCTACCCACGCCCGAGACAGGTCCATATGGCTTCAAGATGTGCGTTGCCCATGTCTCCATGCCGAGGGCTATCCCAGGTGTTCGGTTGCGCCGCGATGTGAAGTAAGACATGATCGTGAGATTCGAGCCAAACCTTGTCCATGTCGGGAGCACATCGGAGACTTGGACGTTTCTCTGGACGGTTTGATCTAGAAGTTTGCCGGTGTCGTGTATGTCATGCAGCATGCTTCTTCTAAGACAACCATTGGGCCCTCATTGTGAACGCACGCTAAGACAGCAGGACACCGCCCGCCTAGCTCAATCGGATAGAGCGTCAGACTCTTACGGGTCTAGGCACCCAGGGCGATCTGAAGGCTGCGAGTTCGACCCTCGCGGTGGGCTAATGGTCTTTTTTAAAGAGTTACGCTGGCCATTGGCACCATTGCGCCTACTTGGTGAGGGTGTTCACAAGCATGCTCGATCTGTATGCTGTGTACACCTACTACTAAGCTACACGTGTGCACAAGAGGACTTCATCACATTCGACAAACATGACATCAATGCCCACGTGGACATTATGACACCCTTTACCGTTAAGCATAAGCCCGCCTAGCTCAATCGGATAGAGCGTCAGACTTTTATCCATTCTCTAGGGTCGGGATCTGAAGGCTGCGGGTTCGACCCCCGCGGTGGGCTAGTTTGCTTTTTCCAGGTATCAAAACACTTACGGGCAGCATCTACGAACGCGCAACGATGGTTCAGTAGCCTCGTGTGTGCGCGGCGCGACGCCTTCTAGCCGGCCGCTTCCAGATGCCGGGCCTGAAGCGAAGTCGCCCACAGACGCCGACGAAACACCTGTCGTATATGGCAGTTGTTCGCTAGGCGAGCGTCGCGAAGCGGGCGCGACGGCAACGGTCGCGTAGGGTGTGCGCAGCTTTGTACCTGTTTGGTTCGCGTCGGGCGCAGAGAGGGCGAGTAGGCGCCCAAGAGAGCAATCCGGCTGTCGGGACTTGGCGAGCGACGTCGATTGCCTCCATCCCGCCGCTGCACTTCTCGCTTCTCGCTCGATTGCTCCCAATTGCGTCCCTTACCCGGGGATATATAGACCTTCGACTTTGCAGCCATGGTCTCACCATCATCCGCCCTCCAGTCCTCGGAGTCCTTCAAGTCCTCTCGCATCACTTAGCACGCCGTCCAACGCACCCACTCTACAGCCATATCCAAGATGTCTGCCTCTGCGTCCACCACCTCCGCCTCGAGCACTCGCCCGACCTTCTTCGGCCTCTTCGATCGCTCAGCCACTCCCGAGCTTGACATTGAGGCGCAACTGCCCCAGCCCGCTCCCGCTCGCACCCACGCAGCTCGTGCGAACGCGTCCATCGACGAGGCCACTACGGACCCGATTGACGACTTCTTTGGCGTCTCGCGTCCCTCTCCGTCCAGCGGCCGTCGCACTCTGAGCCTTACCGGCACGCGCGACAGCCGTCACGACGATGTGCGCGCGTCCACCCTCGCCGACGCCGAAGTCGAGTCGCTCCCTCCTCCGTACGAGCACTCCATTGCGCCCCCAGCGTACTCGTCGGTGTCGGACCAGCCGACGCTCGCGATGTACCTCTTCAAGTTTGGCTTCTGTAAGTTTTCTCTTGCCCAGCTTCTGCACCTTGACCTGTGCTTACAAGGTACCCGCACAGTGTTCCCGCTGTTCTGGCTGGCAGGAGCATTCATCCTCCTCTCCCCACTGCAGGCGCCTGCCGACTGGGAGACTTCCAAGCCCGAGTACGAACGGCAGGAAATCATCGAGTCGATGCGCCGCACGGAAGTGAAGTGGGCGAAGCGCTGCCTCGTCGCGCTCCTCATCACCATCCTCCTTGTCGCTGCTATCGCTACCACCGCGGTTCTCGTCATGCGCTCTTGAATCCACCACCACCACCACCACCACCACCGTCAAATCCACGACTACTCATTCCATCAAGATACTTCGTTCAACGAACAATGCGCCGAGAATTCGCAACACGCATCAACCCTCCGACTCTCCTTTACCCAAGGGCAGCGCCCGCTCTCACCGGAACTTTTTCACGACGTCGCTCCTTCGCTATATCCTTATTCTTCACTGTATCACTATATACCACTGTATCAGTACGAATGAAGCCCCAATCGAATGGCTTCGAAACACCCGCTTTTGATCTCTCGCTCGCAATGAAGGAATGGGCCCTCTTCGTCATCTTGTGCGTGAGATGTTCGACATGTCATTCATGACGCAAAATCAGGTTATAATAAAACCAATGATTTACGCCTAGGCAATCGTCATTTGCGATACGAAAGAGAAGTTCCCTGGAGTTGAGTCAATTCCTCCATCTGACGCTCCAGGTGGTCCTGAATACCACCAACTATTACACGACATGTACTCGTTCAATCTATGCAGGTCGATTGCACGCTACACTACTAATACAATTGCTTTGCGAATGCCTCACGCGTCACAGCGTCCATTCACCGCATCCTGCGCTCCTGCGTACCCATGACCGTCCCGCTCTTGTACAGCTCTCCCGGCTGCTCCGCCTCGGACCCCACCTCGCGCGGAATCTCGCCCGAGCCAAACTGCTCCGCGCCGCGCATCTGGCGCTTGCGGTGCGCGCTGCCGTCGTGGTGCCGCTCCGCGCTGCTCATGCCCGAGCCGGGGTGGCCGAGCCCGTCGTGCACGTCGCGCGACGTCGCGCCGGTGAGCGTGTCCGCGGCGGACGTGGGCGTCGCGTACGGGTCCTTGTCGATCACCGTGCGCGAGTCGGGGGCGGGCGGGAGAGGGCTGGTGTTGGTGTCGATGGGACGGGTTGGTGAGGGGGCCCGACCGGCGGCTGCCCGAGCGTTCAGAATGTCGGACTCGAGGCCTGGAAATGAGCGTTAGTGGATTGTCAGAGATTGTCGGTTAGTCAAGCGTACATACCCTTGGTATGCGAAGTACGGGTGCCGGGCTCAATGCTCGACGGGGGTGCGTCCCGGCCAGTTGAAGGCGGCATGTGCTCCTGCGCACGCTGCTGCTGGTCTGCGATCCAAGTTGTTAGCACCACGCTCGCATGACGGCTCGATGGATGTCAGACTTACCATGAGGGACGTCGATAGCCACGAAGTGGTGCCCAGTGGTCGCCTTGTCCGCACCAGGGATCCTGTGGCGGCTGGCGTCGCTGCCAACAAAGTCGTTGTGGCGGCCAAAAGTGACGGGGGATTCGTTAGAGCCAGACATGATGGTGAATTGCGTTCGAAAGGTGAAGGATTGGAGGTGGTGAACTAAGTCGTGAACTGAAGTAGTCGAAGTGGTCGAATGCGATGCGAATGGGTCGTTGGTTGGTGCGATCCCCTGTCCATGGCGGGCGTGTTATATAGGGAACGGTGCGAAGGCTGGCTGGGCGGTGGCGACTCGGAGTGAGTGGGACGCTTTGCATCATAGACGCGACTCGGGGCACGTGCTACGTCATTGTGGATAGTCCCGCCCGTTATGGCAAGTGCTGTTGGGAGCCCTCCTCTGCTGTCGACTCGTTGGGACTTTGGATTCGGCCGGGTGAAATTTCTGGGCAGTTCCACTCGGTCTCGAGTCAATACGCGTAGGCCCCACGGCGCTCTCGACGCTGGAGCGAGGCGGCTTTCGCGGTGAATTGGCCGATGTGCGGAGGCAAGTTGCGTGCAGGAAGACGTAACTTCGCGCCCAATGGACGTCTAGACACCACAACCATCGATTGCCGTCATAATCGTCTACGTGGCTTTCACTTTACGAACTACTCGTCTCGTCGTGCCGTCATCGTCCCTAACCCACTCACGTACCAGGGTGTAGCCGCCTCGGCGCGGCAGCCAGACGCACCACACATACCAGTACCCGACACCGCCCAGAGAGATCGACCACGCTACGAGAACATGCAGCTGCAATGAAATAGTCAAGCAACGAGGATTCCCTTCGGTGTATATGGATATAACGCACCCAATATGGAAGGGATTCATATACCCGATACCCGCGGGAAGGCGGCATAAGCGGCACTGCGACGAGGAAGATGTTGGAAAGGAAGAAGAACAGGACCACAGGGGTCCATGCTTTGAACGGCGGACGCCAGTTGTAGGATGCGCGCAGTTCTTGCAGTCTCTTCGGTAGCCAGTCATCGGGCAGATGGATGAAGAGCAAGCCTCCGGATACGAACATATTGATGAGTGCGAGAGGATATGATGATACTAGCAGTGAGCATCGTCAATGCCGTAGTACACTATGCACGGCGTGTCATATGTCGACTCACGGTTGAGCATGAAGAGGTACGCGTCTCCTGGTGGAACGAGCGAGACCAGAGCCGAGGTCACCAACCACTGTTCGAAGAGACCAGCGAACGGTGCGCCGAAGGGCTTATTGCTCGCGAACAACGAGGAGAACGGCAGAACACCCTCGCGACCCAACTCCTGCACGACTGCGGTCGAAGTCAGTAAAGCTCGGGTTTCGCGACGCAGTAATAGGACATACCTCGTCCATGGGTGAACAATACGGCAAGGATGTTGCCTAGTGTCGAGAATGCGACAATCACACTCACAGCCTGCAACGAATGCCATGTCAATCAACCTGCACAGAGAATAGAGTACCCTGCTTACACGCTCCGCACCGACGCCCCACAGCTTCCCAAAGTGCAACGCTGCAACGATACGGCCGCTTCCTACTATCTCCTCCTTATCTACGACTGCGAGGTATGCGACATTGACGAGCATGTAGACTAATGTCACGGAGAGCATGGCGAGCGGTGCAGCGCGTTTGAACGTCCGTACCGGATCGCGAACTTCGGCGAGGGCATAGTTGGCGTTCGAGTAGCCGATGAAGCACCAGATGACGTTGAAGAGTCCTGTAACGAACGCGTTCGCGCCGCCTTGCAGACCGCCCTCCCACATTCTGTCCCACTCGAAGTTATGCGGAGGCTTCGAAGAATGTCACATTAGCCTTGTCTCTGGTAAACGTACGCATGAGAAATCCTCACGTTCTCGAGTTTAAAACCCTTCACTTTGAGAAGAGATGCAAGCCCGCTCAAGGCGATGCCGATGAGGACGAACAGCTTGAACAGACCAAGCGTGTTCTGTATGCGCAGCCCGGCCTTCAACATCGTCCCATGCAGAAACAGCGCGACTGTGATGCACAGTACTCCGGCAAGGCGCGCTGTCGTAGGGGAGGGCGTTTGACTAGGATTGAGAGCGTGTAGCGCATCTAGAGAGCACGACAGCACATGAGGACCGTGTTTGGGATCGGCAGAGCGGTCTACTTACATTCTCCGAATACAGAGCAAGACGCCGCTTGCCAGCCCTGTGTGTTGGAGCGTTAGTGACTAGCGTTCGAATGACCGCAGCCCAGGAACTTACCGTCAAGACAGCATACATGGCGTATATACAGGTCACGAGAAGCTTCGGACGTCGGTATATGAACTCTAGGTAGTTCTTCTCTCCACCATTACGGGGAAGGCCCTGGATACAAGGAAATCAATGTGGGACTCGTGAGGAAACGAGACGACTGGGTATCCCCCTACAGTCCCAAGCTCCATGTACACTGCAGTACCACATAGAGCGACAGTGGCCCCGAGTAGCCACATTACGAGCGACAGCCCAACGCTTCCCGATGATCGAAGGATCACGCTCGGGGTAGCAAATATACTGCATATCGTTGTGAGCTTCACTCAACATTAGAGCCTGGC